AAGAGCACCCCCCCTGCCGGTCACTGCCAGGTGTCAGTATGATGCTAAGGCTCCCGAGAGACGCGGAGCAGGAAACCCTGGGGAAAGCGAAGAACGCTTGGGGGGTTTTGCTTTGTCCTGATTTGCAAGCACTACTGCTCTGGGTTTGTAGATGTCAGTATAGGCCCACAGGCTTAAATGTCGAAGGTTGAAGTTTCTCAAGGTCTCGGGTGTCGGTGTGTCCTGGAGGTGAGATCTCAGCACCCAAGTTGGTACATTTATTCAGGCATAAGGTCGACATGGATGCATCCCATTGCAACTGTTTCGGCACGGTGAGCCGAGAGAAGTCTGCCGTCAAGCCTGCCCTCGAAAGAAGCCATGAATCCAAAACATCCCTAAACCTGATATGCCGAGCTGAGTCCTTGCAGTTGCATGTGTAACAAGGCTCGTATTATTGCGTGGTAAGAAGCGTCACGAACTCCCGAAATAGCCGTGGGAAGGCATCAAGGGCTCCAAGACTGATGGCTAATCTTGTCGGAACTTCATTTCCTTTTCCTGGAAGTTTCTCAGCATTGAAAATCTCCAATCCTGGGAGTTCCGGGAAGCCCACAAAGCAGTGGTGAGCTCGTACGCGTTCCAAGTGGTCCAGGCATGGTTGGCCTCAAACTTCGGAGGGCTCTGATGCTTCAGATCCTTTGAGGGCTCGGGCTCTACGCTTTCAGGGCCTTTAAACAGGCTTCAAGCTCGCTCCGCGCTAAACCCTTCAAGATCCCAGATCTGGGTTCCCGACGAGCTCTCGGAGCCCTGCCCTGTCAGCAGTGGGCACCAGCATGTAGCTCAGTGTCATGGAACCTCCATCCGAGCTGGAGGGTTCAGGGTTGGTCGGATGAAGCTGGAGCAGACAGGCCGATTCTGCTTGAGCTGGGGATTCCTGAAGGCTAGTTAAGGTTCTTGGAGTTATCTGGGGTGTAGGGCGGTGTGGTGTTCATGGCATCTAAGTCAAGAGTCAGGCAGGTGCCCTTCCGGCATGCAGGTCCCAGATCCAGAAGTCAGCAAGCCTCCTCAGGTCCTGTAAACCCCAAAACCCCACACCCCCTAAGCCATGGGCTGAAGAGCGCTGCTATCGCCAAGCCGTTGAGGCATCGGTCCAGAAGCACCTGCTGAATTTCAGGTTTGGGGGGTTTAGGGTTTATGGGTTCGGTGTTTCGGATGCTAGGGCTTAGGGCTTCAACGGCTCTCGTCTGTAGATGCTCTTTCCCATCTACCGTCAGTTGCAAAAAGAAGGAGAGCACATCCCATGTCAAGACCTGCTTCCGCAAACCACGCATCAGCGGCTAGCCGGGCTGGAGAGCACCAGGCAACATCAACATCACTCAGCTCAAAAATCCCACAACATCAACCAGACTAACTAGACGGCATCACTCCACCTTCCTGGCAAGGGCCCATCCCACTGCGACTCAACGAACAACCCTTCTAAGTACTGCTACAACAGAACTCGCATCCAACATCGCACATCCGGCTCCTCCTTACCGGTTCACAACAGGACACACATGGAGGGCAACGCTTAGCACATCTCGGGCACGAAAAGGGCTGTCTCTTACACATCAACACAACTGACTATCAATCGCTGCTTGTGCTCATCTTCGCGAACTGCCATTCTCTGCGGCGAGCTGCATGTGCATCTGTACGAAAGAAGCATCTACACCTACAGTCACCACTGCTTGCAGTCACGCTCGTGTCACGAAGGTCTGGGTTCACAATCTCCATGCCCAGTTTGACGTTTCAGCTTAGTAACTTAGGGGTGGAAGATTTACGGAATTTTTGCTTCGGGATGCAGGGCTGGGGATTTTGGGAGCCGGCCGCCTCGAAGCTCTGAACCTCTGAGGTCTTAAACTTTCAACCGGGGTACCGCCGGGTACAGCAGCTTCTTCTCACCATTCCTTTGCTTTGTGGGTTTTAGGCATGACGGCTTCAGGATCCTTAGTTCCCGCTGCATGATACCCTGAAATGGACTCCCTCGGACTGGGCCTGCTCATCCTGCGCCGTGACCAGTCGGCTAACGCAGGGACTGAGCATGTAGCGATTCGAGGGAGAAGTGCCAGTCAGAGTGACATTGCAGTGACAAACAGACACTCTTAAAGATCGCAGGTTCCGCTCTTCACTCCTCTTTTTGTTAGCCCGAAACCGAACCCTTCCAAGCAAGGCAGCTGCAACCCTTCAAGCACTCCCTTGCAGCCGAGAGCCGAGCATGCTGAGACCAAGGAGCACGCCACTCAGAGCGTGCCTTTTTCTTTGTGCTGCTTTTTGGGCGGAGCGGAGGGTTTCGGGGTTTCGGGTCTCAGGATGCAAAAAAGAGGTTTGCAGATGGGGACTTGAAGGCTCAAAGGTCCTGGTGTGTCAGGGAAAGGGTTGAAGATGATGCAGGCCACCTACAAGCATACCTAATCGGAAACAGTTCAATGCGTCTCGGAGTCGAGCGCACATGAACGAATGCTCTACCAGTTACCAGGTTCAAGATCCGCGACGACTGGCATTTGTCCTGCGGCGCTTGCACCGAGGGAGACTTTGAAATCGAAGCGTGTCAATCCGATTCGATGACTCTTTGGAGCCGCCTCGCAGTGGCAACAGCAACAAGGAGAACAATGAGTACATGGTGTAGCAACAGCTCCACTTTCAGTATGTACGAATCATCGCAATAAGACTACCCGGTTGCTACCCATGATCCATGCCGTACAGCGCATCATCGCAAAAGAAGAAACCATGAAACCCTACTAGCAATCCCAAATCAAATCGTGACTGCTCCACGCCGGCTCTGAGAAGAGGGCTCTGTGTCGGTGTAAAACATGTCCTGGACCAGATGTTTGCTCATGCAGTGTAGGGTACTCAATAGAATCTCCAGAGCTTGACACCACCACAAGTCTTCAGGCCAAAAGCTGCAAATCTAACACATGGAACACCAATAAGAAAGCATGCGAACGTTGAATAGTCAGTCTGAAGCGTTGGGTGGATCTACGTGTCACGATTTGGGTATGGCTCCTCAAAGACGCAATGTTGGCAAGCATGTCGTTTTCTCCACTCGCTGAAAGTTTTTGCTTTCAAGGCCTATGACACCGAAGTGACACCAGAATCCAATCCGAACACCTGTGGGTCTTGGGTGAAGCAGTATTGCGTGCTTGGCTTTGTTGGTCTAGGGACTCACGGAGACTCGTGATTGCCTTAAGGGGTTTAAACAGCCTGGGGTGCACGTCTAATCCGTTGTCCTCCACTGCAAGCTCCGACTCAGCCGCGACAGCAAAGACTAGGTGCCTGAAGTACTGTTCCCAGCATGCCAGCTGGGGCCCCTGCTAAGCTGGCATCCCGAAGCCACCAGCTCCTTTGGCTCCGTCTCACTGGGGTCAAGTATAGGCGTTGAGGACGTTTGCGCGCAACTGAGTTGACGAATCTGGGGTGTTGCAGCCCGCTGAATGGACTCGTGAAGTAGACTCCCTGAAGCCTACTGCAGCTGGGTCCCCGGCAGGAGCATGAAAACGAGAGCCATAGTTAACCTGCCAAGAGCGGAGTTCCTTTCCAGTGTCGTTCTTTTTCGGGGCACTAGAACCGACTTGGGGGCCAATGGGATCTTCATGAACTTTGTCGGGATCGCAAGATGCAAATCACATTCGGTTCGAAGTAAGACTGCTGCAGTTCTAGCTGTTTCTCCGGTGGTTTTGGGCCTGCCACTCGAGCTACGTCTTCTGAGGTCACTAGATAAGTGCCAAATCCAAGCCGCTCAAAACCTGAAAGCATGACCAACCTCTGGCATTCCAACTCAACCACGCGGGGTTCGAAGACCCTCGTGTCAAAGCTGCTGGAACTCGTGTTTGCCAGTGCAGGGTTAAGTGCGCTAGGGTTCCTCGGAGAATCTCTAAAAGGAAGCATCCCAAACGTAGCTGTGCACTTACCGATATCCTTCTCTGCCTACCCAGCATCGCAGGCAGAGAGCCTGCGCCAGAAGAAGTGTCTGTAGCCTTCGGCTTGCGTGAGCAGCATGACTTCCTGCCAGGAGGGCCATAAACGGTATCGAATGTTGTTGCAGTGTCCGGCCGCTAAGCGTTGGAGTCAAAGAACACAAACCCAAACCCGCCGCCTCAGCTTGGCAACATCTGGGGCCTTTGCAACCGAGTTCACAGAGGAAGCGACTTTTGTGTTATGCGCACCCTTCAGATTTTCAAGCGGTTTAACTCGCCCTGAACAGACCCCCTGTCATGATGATGACGTGGTAATAACAACAATGCTCGCTTCATGCGACTAGCAATCGTTACAATGCCAATGCACTTCAATGTGACATGCCATGATGGATCCAGCTGCTTCAAGCGCTCCTCCGTTACGAAGATAAGGACACCGCCTGGCTGTACCCAGGAGCGAGGCTCGAGGGCTTGGAACAGCAACAAGCTTGTTTAAACAGGAGGTTGCTTTGTAGGACGTCGCTACAACTCTGTTTCAGCCTGACACCAAGTTCTCAGCGCTTCCGGTTTCGTGTTTCGGATCACTGAAACTACCCAGTCAAAGGTGCCGAGAGTGTAGGTCGAGAAGGTATTGCGACCCTTTAGTTGCCAGGTGACTCAGCTTATTGGTAACTAATGCTGTGACTAAAGTCTAAAGCTTTCGATCGTGGCTGTCCATGTGTATATATACATACATACATACATACATACATACAAACACATATGCATGCATGCATGCATGCATGCATGCATGCATGCACGCATGCATGTATGCGTATGTAAGCGTCTCGGTCCGAACCTCAGAAACAAGTGTAGCTCCCATGGGTGGGGGCTTATGCCCAGATCGGTGCCGTCGTCCGAAGCCTCCACGGAATCCTCCGTTACTTCTGACTTTGAAGGCGAAGAGAGCTCCGAAGCTGCTGAGTTGGATTGGCCTGTGCATTATAGCACAATGCTTGGCCCGCCCAACCCTCTCCGCGGGACGCCGCATCCCTCGCGGCCATACAAGATGAGCAGCTGCAACTGTCGGAGCGAACTATGCGCTCAATGGAATGGTTCTGCAACATTGTTCTCAGGTTTTTCTGTTGGCAATCCAGGCGTTGCTCTATGGAAGAGATCCAGGGACGCCCCAGCCGGTCTATTTCGGCCTCGCTGGCTACCTGGGGGAGAACGCAGAGCGAACTTCCTGCCAATGAGGTGCTGGAGAGAACGGCAGCTCATTTGGATGATGCCACAGCCGGAACCTTGTGGGCGGACTTCGCTTGGCTCGGCACACTCCTGCGCCAACAGCCTGAAAGAAATGACAGGGCCTGGATCCTTACAACAGGGAACCAGTTTTGCCCCGGCAAACCGCTGTTGCAGCAGAAGCTTTGGCCCAGTGTGGTGTCCCGTTTGCAGCAGCGCCTCCCTGAAGGCCTGGTTCAGGAGGTTGCGGACACCATTTTTGATATGGCCTCGGCTTTGTGGTACCAGGACTACCTCATGGTTTTGTTGCCATGGCTTACTTCGACGGAGCAGCTGCAGTTCCAACAATGGTTCCAGGAGTACGAGCGGAACCAGTTTCTTGCTCTGCCGCGAAGCGCCGGGGAGACTGCACCATTGCCCGGCGAGGAGCCAGATCGTCCTGCCCTTCCTCGCGGCTCCAACGATCCCCTCCGGAATGAACAGCTGGGGCACTGGGCTTGCCGCCAACTGGGCGCTGATATCAGGACGGACCGCCCGGGTCCCAATTCCGTGGACATGTGGCACACTTCTACTTCTGAGTCGAGGACAGGCTCGCTGATAGTTCTTGCCGTGAACATGCTCACACCTAGGAGCTGTGTGCCACATGTTGACGTGAGGGTTGAGGGTAGGCTTGGTTGCACCCCCTCTGAAGCCACCTCTTTTGCGCTAGCTGTCTGCCGTATGGAGGCGAAGCATTGGACCCTTTCGAAGTTTTCGAAGACTGTCCTCAAGGGCCAGGCTTCCCTGGAATTCTTCTTGCAGAGCACTTGAAGTACCTTTGTCACTCTGACCGTTTGCTTTCTATAGGCTGTTTTGATACATGCCCCGAACTACCCTACCTTGCGCCTTGGCCTGCAGACTCTGCGACGCCTGTGTACCTGGCCTCTGCCCAACGTGATGGGCTGACAGGCACCCATCACTTGCACCACCGGTTCGAACGCCAAGGGTGTAGTCTACTGATGCTGGGTCTCATTCTCGCTGTGACTTGTGGGCTTTTGCTGTGGGTGCGACGGCGTATCACCGTTCGGTGGGCAGTAATCCGCATTGTCCCCGGCCAGTATCGCTGGCGCCCACTGAGACGCCATCGGGCAGTGCAATCTGTCAGGGACAACCGTCCCCGACGCTTCATCTGAGAGCTCACTTGCAGCAGCTTCCCAGACCTCACCATTTCCCCCTAAAGCGGTTTAGGTCCTCACCCATATCGTTGTTGTTGTTTGGGCTTTCACCGTAAATCATGCATTGTCCTGTGGATGTGTGGGCACTTTCTCCATCGTTTTGATTCTTTGAATGATCCAGGACAAACCACGCTTGATGGCTTCTGCAACTGCGAACACCCAGGACCTCAAGGAAGCCGCGGCGGTGGGCGGAGGACATGAATCCCCAGACCGGGGAACCGTCGACAGCCCCGAGCAGTGCCAGGGCCTCCCAGGAGAGCGCGGAGCTGCTGGAGGACAGGAACCTGGCTCTGAACAGCCCAGCACCGGCACGCATGGAAGTGGACAGGGAGAAGCGCCTGGCCGAACCACAGCCGGAGGCGGCGGCGACAAAGTGGCCACGCGGTCACTTGAAGGGCGATCGCAAAGGCGAGGAGCCGGAGGAGCCGGGCAAGAACCAGGCTCTGGAGCCCACACGAAAGGGCCGCGCTCCCTCACCACGCCGACCCTCGCAGAGGCGTTCAGGGCCAGGGCAAACCGAGCAGCGAGGACAGGGAGCGCAGCAACGCCAGAACTGGTGGGGACAGCAGCAGCGCCGAGCGAGCGACCGCAGCGATCGCGGCTACCAACGATCGGCGGGACCAGGACCGGGAGAACGCGGCGCTACAGGACCTGGTGGTAGCGATGGGGCGCTTGACGTTGAGAATCGAAGACAGCCTCAACGTGTATGGCCTCGATACCAGCTTTATGCTATTTCTTCAGACGAAGGAACCCGAGAAAGGCTGGACGATCACCAAGGAGCTCTACTCCGTTGCGAAGGAGTGGAACCGCCAGAAGGCGGAGGAGGCATCAGCCCTCACGCAACCGATGAGAACCGTGCTGCTGCATTGCCTATTTTCCGCCCTTCGCAACCGCCTCCGCAGCATGGAAAGGAGATGTGCCTCAAGGCGAAAGAGATGGGCTTGACCGATGGCACGAGCTATCTCTATCTCAAGTGGAATCAGAAGGATCACCACTACGAGCCGGACACGCAGGAGCCGCTGGCACTTGCGAAGGCAATGGAGATAGTGGACTATCTCGTCACGTTCACCTCACGTCCTTTCCGGACACAGTGGGCAAGTTCCATCCGCTGCACAAGCTTACCCAGTCGATGGAAAGCGAAGTGATTCCATTTTCACTTCAGATTCAGAATCGCTCCCAGGAGGCACACCAGATGTATTGCCTCATGAGGTGTTTGTCCCGCAATGGTTGCCTCCACCTGGTGGGGGCCACGGCCCGTCCTACACGTCTAGGCAGGAGCCCCCTGGCGATGCACATCGATCAGCTTCTTCAATCGTTCCAACGCTGAAGCCCACGGAGGCCCAAGCTGTCAATGTTGTTCTAAACAATCCCTCATCCCATTGCTATGCCAACTCTGTAGTCCTAGCTCTGATATGGACTGCCACTCATCTTGGGCGGTTCATAGGCTGGCTCCTGAGAAAGCCACTGTGCCTGTCCCTCCGGCAGACTCGTGCGTGGCCCTTGTTCATGCAAAGTTGGAATGAGCCTCATAGACAGCACGACGCTGCCGATTATCTGCATTTTCTGAGGCCCCACCTCAGCCCGTCTGCAGGGGAGAAGCTTAGGTGTCGCATCAGCTCCAGCCGTACGGTTTACATCCCCACCTTCTGTAGTGTAGGGTTGCAAACCACGTCGCATGTCTGCACGGTGGAAGCAATAGTGATTCATCTTGGACATTCCAGAGATAGTGGACACTATCGCACTGCCTTTTTGCAGCAGGGCAAACTGAGTCAACTGACTGATGATGGTCTGCCACCAAGCACCGTCTCGGACACAGATGTTGCCACGCTCGAATCAAACGCTTACTTGTATTTTCTCAGCAAACAAAGCAGGTCAGAGTGATCAGTTGCCCGCCGGGTTCTTTTCCATTCGGTCTCCTCAGGAGCCGTCCAATCGTTTTTAGAAGTGACAGTGCCGGTCAGCTGCTGCTCATCGCTTACGGGGCGGACACGCCGCATGAGCTGTATGTGCATGCTTGCTTTGGTGTTAGCTAACTTTTACTTATGGGCCTATTGCTAATTCTTTAGGGTTTATCCTCTCTTATGATCTTCTATATGGCATACTCATGCAACTGGCTGACAGGAAGAGTTCTGTTGTGGGGTACCCAACAACTACCGGGCATGCGCCCTTGAGGCGCCGATCGGAACGATTGCCCTTCGACGCAACGCGAAACCCTTCTTGCAGCGGTGTGAATGAATGTATGTGTATGTATGCAGGTATGCATGTATGCATGTATGCATGTATGCATGTATGCATGTATGTATGTACACATGTACGCATGTACGCATGTATGCATG